CGGTCGGCATGTAACACATATTAGCGCCTACAAGACTGCACGAATACCTCACGCATTGCATCATATACAGTGCGGTCACTGCGGTCAGCGTGAAACGGATAGCGCCTACAAGAATACTTCACGCATTGCGCCATATAGACAGTGCGGTCAGCGTGAAACGCTTAGCGCCTACAAGACTGCGTGAATACTTCACGCATTGCGTCAAACACAGTGCGTTCAGCAGCGGTCGGCGTGAAACGCATAGCGCCTTCAAGACTGTCGGAATACTTCACTCATTGTACCAAACACAGTGCAGTCTGGGCGGCGCGGCGCGGCGGCGAAAGTTAAAATCATTAAACTACATTTATGTTTGTTCTTTCATAGTTTGTTCGTTCATTTCTCATGAATGAAAGGCCTTGTCCACACAGAGATAGGTTTACGAAACTTAACTTTCGCGCAAAGTTCCGTGAACTTTTGCTAGTAGTGTTGACAGGGCTGTCGCAAAAAATATGCCCAACACGAGTAAACGCGTCTTATGCAACCCTTCCCCTCCGTTACGTTCACTCGATGGTTTTTATTGATGTTTCAAAACGAATGAGAAGGGGGCGGCAAAATACAGGCGGCCCATGAGCGGCAAGTAGGTAAATCCGGCCCTGCACCCACCACCTCCTACTTACTGCCAAAGAAGAAATTAAAAATATACACCAGTGTCTTGGAATAATAACTTTAAAAAGCAAGTGTATTTGCTTCACACTTAAAAAAAAGAAGAAAAAAAAGAAATCACTCTGATACTTAACATGCGGCAACGGTGTTTCGCTTATTACCGTCACATGGAGCAATTACAATCAACGCACGAGTGCTTATTGCTTTGGGTCCTGTTTATTGCCTCCTTTGCTTCTTCGCCGATTTGCTGTTTTACGTCGTTTGTTTGACCCATCCCATCGCGGTTTTTATTCGTTTTTCTCTTCTGTTTTTTCTCTGTCATTAGGCGGAGGCTCACTTAGCGCGCGTAAAGCTATCAAAAAATCGTTTAATTTAATTGGTGCCCTTGCAAAAGTTCTCGCTTTCGAAGCACCGATGCTTGTCCTTATACAAACACATCAGATCACCTCGGTCACTTTTTATGGGTGTTCGTCCGGTGCAGAAATTAATTAGTGCTATAGCACCTTGTATTCCCGACAACTTATCGTCGCCTTCCTGGCAACAGGATGTAACTGCATTTGGCGATGACCCCTGTCGTCCATACTACTCAATGATTTCTCTGGCGCATCTATACGTGTAGTTACGTCCTTGTGTCAGTTAAGCGACGATATATCTTCCGGTCACTCAGATCTTGTATGCTTTACGTTTCAACCGACTTGTTATTTCCTTCATGTTTCGTTTTTCGAGGAGGGGCAGGGGAAAGCAAATTATGGAGAAATTTACATTAGCTGCCCGAAAAAAGCAGGGCCAATCAAAGGAATTTTATTGGCCCTGTTATTTTGAGATGAACGGTTGCTGGAAAATATTCCTTGAAATATCTAAAAAATTTGTGCAAGTTTTTCACTTGGCTCTCCTTGAAAAGAATGAATCTCTTGGAAGTATGGTTATCCATAAAATGAATAACTGCTATTCGGTTGACGACTTTGCAGACTTCCCACATTACATCATTTTATAGTAAGAAAACTGAAGAACCTAAATTCTTGAAAAAATCCGTAGTTTTCCTCATTTTTTTAATGGGATTTCTTTAAAAATTTCAAGAAATTCAGTTACCTCGCCTCTTACTGAGATTCAAAGTAGGAGCAGACTTTTTGAAATATTACAGTAGTTCTTGACTGAGTTAAGGCATCGATATTCCATTGATTAAGAAGATAATATCTTGAAGATATTGCATGTCGAATCGAAAATTTGAAAATTTGATACTCACCTTCAAACATGTGTTGAATTACTTTTTAATGTATATTTTGATAAAAACTTACGTTGAAAATAGATGTACATCATATAAAAAGAGGAATATCGTCAGTGCGATAAGAATTTCACTTACACATTTATTACTTGCTTAGTCTTACTCCCTCCCCCGCCCTCTCGTAAGACCCCATTTCTCATACACCCCCCTCCCCCTCCCTGACGTAGCCTACGTAATACTTGAACGGAATTTTTTTAGTAATCCCGATTTTGTATGTTTCGCCATGCAGTATGTACATATGTATATCTCGTGGCAATTGAACTACGCTCTTTTGAGCAGGCATCCAATTGGGTGTGGAGGACTGGAGGTGTTAAATGATAGTCGAAATTTTCTCCAAGCGCAGCTGAAAAGTTTCCGAGCGAGGTGTGATCGAACTCGATCGAACTTGGGAATTAGAACATGCGCGTCCGGTTATCAGACGATTTGAAAATCTTTTAATTAGCGTTTATCTGCACGCTTATTCGTAGATTAAGGTCCTCGTCGATTGGGAATCAGCGGAGAGCGAAGCGTGCCGATGCTGTCTCAACGGTCGACGCGACGTGAATCATCGTCGGCGCTGTTAATTTGTCAAGTGACACTCCCGTTAGTTTGATTGATGCTTCAATTTTGACAAATTCATCCACCGGCGGATTTTGACGGCTGAATTTTGAATTTCAGGTGATTACGTTTCTGAGGCTTTCAGTGTCTTTCTCAATTGAAAGTTCCGACACATTTGTCGTTTACCAGGCGCACTGGAAAAAAAAACCACATCGGATCTAGAGTCCAGACTCTTAAAAACATCGACAAGAAAAAATACTCTTGATTCAATCGGATTTTTGCTTAAATCAAGAACCAAGCCTCTTAATTTGAGCGGATTTCCTTTTGATTTAAGCTTAAATCTGATTGAATCAAGAGTATTTTTTCTTGTCAATGTTTTCAAGAGTCTGGACTCTAAATCCAATGAGTTTTTTTCCAGTGCGAAGGAACGTAATTTCATTCCAATTTGTAAAATTTACGACAAAAATTTTCTTTTCTACCGGGACGTTTCCGTGCAATTTTTGTCCAAAATTTATATGATTTTTCATGAAATCGCCAGAAAATCCATGAAATGTTTCACTTAGAAACGCTCAAGGTTCTCCCAGCAAAAATGCATTTTGCAAGTGGAACTTCGGCAACTTTGAAATATACTTTCGTTCTCTCTTGAGCGGAACGTCACATGCTCGAATCGATCTTCTTGCGTGTACATTAGCACGGTCCTTCAAAATGGAAAAAAGCCCATGGTCTCCCTCTGCATAGGTATTCGCCCACGGTACACTGGAAAAAAAAACACATTAGATCTAGAATCCATACCCTTAAAAACATCGACAAGAAAAAAAGAACCCAGCCTCTTAATTTGAGCGGATTTCCTTTTGATTTAAGCTTAAATCTGATTGAATCAAGAGTCCTTTTTCTTGTCAATGTTTTCAAGAGTCTGGACCCTAGATCCAATGTGTTTTTTCCCCAGTATAATAGAAAATATCAATGTAAAGTTTGAGGCGTATAAACATCTATGCAATTCCCCCTATCCCATGAAAAATTTCAAATCCTTAGGACGAAAAATAACCTGAATTTTTTCGTCGCTCTTGGTGTTTTAGTCGTATTTCGGCTGTTGTACTTACGTAGTACAATAAGGAATTTTTTTGGCGATGAAATTTTTTTCCCGTCAAGACAATAACACCTTTTTTAGGTGCCCTATAAATTGAACTTCCTTTGGTCTCCTAGTACGCTTACTCGTTTATCAATTTTGTTGAAGCCGTATCAGTATACGACAGGATTTACTTGGAAAGCAATGAAGCTGCAGTTATTGATACTGTATCGAAAGTGACATATCAAGTTCATTGCTCACTGCTTGACGTTTCACGCTTTCATTTTTAACCCTGAACTCAATCAGGAGACTTACCTCGTCGAAAAGAGTGTTCCGTACCTAGAGTAGTAAAATAGCCGTAAACGAATAGTTTGCATGCATGAAAAAAAAAATACAAAAAACTCGATACGATGTTTTTTGTGTTGCCTTACGAACTAATTCAAGGCCTCTAACTTTTACACAATTGATACGCAATTAGGTGCATCTTAAAAAGCTAACTTCATCTTGCGAGCTTTCAGAGAACTTCAAAATGTTTGGAACATGGGAAAGTCAAACTTTCCTAAAATATTTTTGAATTTTTTTAAAACATTTGTTCTTCTCTTTCTCCATGGGAACTTTCTTTAAATTTTACTTAAAACCAATAATAATTGTGTAAATATTTAGAGAAACACGGAAAAAATGGATTGCTGATTTAACAATTACATTGTTAAAAGATATGTCTGACATGTCTCAAATGTATATTTTATAATAGAAGAAAGCTTATCAAACCACGGGGTGGTGAAATTAGCATTTTTATTATCGTAAAATTTACATTCAAACATGTCGAACACTTTTTTTCAACTAAAAGACAGTAAAATCAGCAATTCCATTTTTTTCGTGAATGCTCCTTCTATGCTGGTGATTTAACGTTTTGAAAGTAATGCAGCTCACACTGAAAAAAAATCTCGGTGTATTTACTCAGAAAAGGGTAAAATTACCAAGAATTCAGGGTTCTATTTGATCCCAGTTTTTTCTTGGTAAAATTACCATTTATGGAATTGGTAATTTTACCAAGAAATCTCAGTAAAATTGTTGAACTTTCTCGGTAATTTTACTGGACCTTGGTAAAAATGCCAATATTTTTTATCGACTGCGTGGTAAAATTACCGGGATAAAATGGCAAAGTTACCGGGAACTGATTACCAATAAAAGTGGTATTCTTACCTGAAAAAACCAGTAAAAATACCGGTTTTTAGGTAAGCTTACCAGTCTATCTTGGTAAAATTACCAATAATTGGTAAAAAAGTGAGATGGTAAAGGTACCAACGGACCTTGGTAAAAACGCCAAGAATTTTTTTTCAGTGCAATTTCATTTTTTTTCGTGAAAGCTCTTTTTATGCTGGTGATTTAACGTTTAGAAAGTAATTGCAGCTCATTTTAATACTTTTTTTAATACTTAATTTTAATACTTGTTCCGTCTTTTGTTTGTTGCAGAACATTTTGGTGAGCGATGTCTTCGTGGGTTCCGGCGACGACAACGGCGGCTCTGCTGAGCACACCGCTAGTCGTGATAATATTCATAGTTGGTCACATGGCCGTCACCGCTCCATCGGTCCCCTGCCCGACAGGATGCGATTGTTCAGAGGATAAAGTCGGCTTATTAACCGCAAAATGCTCGTTGAACTCGTTCCGTGTCGACTCCGCCGAAGATTTCTTCTCCATCCAGCTCTTAAGTTTCAACAACTCGGACACGGAGCTGCCAATCTCATTGAAGGATGACATGTTCCAAGCTTTTTCCGGGGTCACCATCATAGAACTGTCTAATTGCTCGGTGGGTTATATCTACCCAGGGGCGTTCAGAGGCTTGAAGTTCCTGCAAGAACTAGATTTGTCCAACAACCACATCACGCATTTTCACCGCACGAGTTTCATCAGCACGCCGAAACTTTCATACTTAAATTTAAACAACAATCCGATCGAAATGACCGATTTATTCCTGAGCTCTAGATCCTTGCAAGAGCTGCGGTTGGAGTCTTGTTCGATTCAGCACATCCCAGCCGGGGCGTTCAAAGCACTGCCAAAACTCAAGAGCTTGTCCTTGTACAATAACAGTTTGGACACGATACCCGCTCACACAATGCCCAAAGGCTTGAAACGGCTGAACGTGGCTAAAAACCGCATTATAAACATCCCGACGGAGGTTATCTATAACTTGAACCGGATCAGAATCTTGGACTTGAGCGAGAATTTGATCAATTGCTCTTGTAAATTGATGGGACTCCAAGACTGGTTATCCGGACGCGGTGTCATTTTCGAGAACGATGTGCTTTGCGCGTCCCCCGCGAAATACCACGGAAAAAGTTGGACGACCGTGAACGAAGATGAAATTTGCGACAAGGAAATCAGGATGACGAAAGAATTGAGCAACCACGTTTTCGGGAGCTCCACTTCCGTCGACTCGGATTGCGACGATCTGAAAGGATCTTGCGATGAGCTCGAGGAGATCCTCCAAGCCGACCAGCCATTGGTCAAACGAACGAGCGAACACGAACTCACACCGAACGACGCGCCGGCTGGAACGGAATACCCCGAGTCGGCTAGCGAGGCCGAAGACACTCCGGACAAGAGCGATTCGGAAGAAGAAAATCCGAAAGAACCGGAGGCTGAAACCGCAGAAGTTACAAAATCCGATTTACAGGATATCGCGTCTGACGAAGAGGAGAAAGTAGTGGAAAGCACCGAATCTATCAAGAGCGATGCCGAGGAGAAGGCTGATGCCGAGGTAGAAAATGTTACCAGCGAGGCTGAGGAGAGGTCTGAACCTGAGGTAGAGAATGTTACAACCGAGGCTGAAGACAAGGAAACCGTCAACGACGAACAAAGTGCCGCGGTTACCTTGGCTGATGCAAGCAGTGGGTCTCCCGCTGTTGAAAATCAAAACATTGAGTCAGTGTCCACGGAGGCATCTCTGGCTCCTGCGAAAGACGAAGAGCCAGCCGAGGCAACGCCAGCGATCGCCGAAGAGACGCCTAACGTCGAGGAACCAGTCACCGAGTCGATTGGCACATCTGCCGACGGCCGAAGTTTAGATCTTTCATCGACCGAGTCTCCGAGTAGCGAGGAGCCAACTCCTATTCCTGAGGCAGGATCCGCCTCAAGCTCAGTAAGCCCAGCCGAGACAGACGTAGATACCTCCACCAAAGCGAAACTGGAGGAGTCTGAGACGTCCGTCTCGCCGTCCTCGACGGTCGAACCCTCAGTTTCCTCACCTGTCACCGTTCAAGACCTCGGCCAGGAGCCTGAAACGTCCAGTGTTGGATCCTCAACGGAGGCCGCGTCGACCGACAGCGCCCCTATCGAAACGACGGAGAGCAGCCTATTCTCATCAAGCTCGGAGAGTCCCAGTAGCTCAGTTTCTCCTTCGGAAGAACCCAGCACTTCTGCACCCGACCTAGATGTATCTTCAGTTTCTTCATCTGTGGCACCTGAGACAACCCCTAGCTACACCGAGGTTTCAAGCTCCGTGTCGCCAGATAGCGTTGACGTCTCAAGCACATCTGAGGCGAGTGTAGACGCCATTTCCTCATCCGAGAGCCCATCCACAAGTGAGGCGCCGATCTCCTCAACCTCAACGGAAGGTAGCCCCATTCTAGGTGTGGGTCTCGAGGTGTCCACTGAAGAGTCATCCAGCCCATCGAGCACGTCCGAAAGCGTCACTCCAGGGCTCGAGGTCAGTAGCGAATCCCCGTCCTCCAGCGAGTCCCCCTCCTCCAGCGAAACGCCCTCTTCAGCATCTCCTATCCTCGGAGATGTCCAGCTCGAAAAGGACATGTCGATTTCGCGCGGAGCCTCGGACTCACTGGAGCCGCCGATGATCAGCTACGATAAAGTCATGACGGAACTCAAGTCCAACCCGGGCGCGTACGTGGTCGGCGGCATCGTGCTGGTCCTCGCCGTCCTCTTGCTCGTCGCCTTGAGCAGGTGCCGCAAAGCGCCGTCCAAGAGGCGACTCGACATAAACGGCAAGTACGACTCCGAGATGAACGGCGGGACGGAGCTGCAAGAAATTACGTCCTTGATCCCTCCCTCGATGACGAACGGAACGAAGATCGCGAAATACAGCGAGAAACCGTCCAAGGACACGCAGAACCTGCTCTCCCCGGACGAGAAGGAGAGCAACGGAGTGCTCATCCCTTTGCACGGCGATAGCAACGGGGCGGCCACGAACGGCACGTCTTGGTCCAATGGCAAGGCCAACGGCAAGAGCCACAACGGGACGCTCAAACCCGAGGCTCCTGGTTCGGTGACCTCTGTCAACAACAGAGGCTCCCAGTTCTTCGACGACGGTGTCAACCCGCCCATCGAGTTGACGAGGGTCAAAGTAACCATGTTACCCGACTCGGTACCAAAGACGCCCGTCTTCGTGCAAAGAAAATTCAGCGATGAGAACAGTTGAATTGGGCGAGCGCTTCGCAATATGTTGACCTCCTGAACTAGACTTGTATCGCATTGTAACAACGCGTACCCATAACCTGCCCTGTGTTCGTTTTGCCGTCGAATTTCCTGTGAATCGGCGAACTTAGGCCGCGACGCTTGACAATCCTCGTACTGTCGTCACCGTTTTATTTGTCTAAGTTGTCGACCGGATAGGGAGAAAAAAAAAACTGATCTCAATAGTGTTCATTTTAGGATTTTCAATTCTCTCCATTGAAAAGGACGAATGGTTTCCCAGGAACTTGATGAATGTATCAAGATTAATTCACAATTTATCAGGATAATATACCACGTACCAACAGCTCGAAATGGATTTTTAATTGAAAATGACTCCAAATCCGCAATGAAGTTCGAGTTTCATGATTCCTCTACCGTAATCTTCTTTTCAGTCGATCGTTTTATTTTGACTGCCCATTAAAAGCATAGATTTGTTCAAAGCATCAGGATTTCGTCATGTATTTGTGTGCCCCAATTTTTGAAAATAATTAACTGTAAAAAGTATGTAAATATCACACGAGCTCATTAGTGTATTGATGTGTTGTGACCGCCTTTTTAGAACAGAGGCTGTTCTGCAATTCACCTATTAGATTTTTATGCCTTTATTTTTGGGATAGCTTAACTGAAATATAATGTGAGAAATCTTGGTCTGTCTAGACGTAGGTATCACTTCAATTGTTAAAAGACCCACTAAACCTGCCAAAGGTATTGAATTGCAGAAACAAAATAAGTGAAGAACCAGAAAAAAATAGTTCTTAAAGTTTTATAGTACAATTACTACCTGAATTAAAAGTAAAGTGACTTTTCAACCTTAAAAAATGATTAATTATATGTGAAAATTTTTATCTAATCTAATAATATTAAAGATTTACGTGTTCTTTTTCCATGAATATATGATGACCAATGTTTGAGACGGTGGAAATATTTATAGGGAAAACTTAGAAAACGAACTTCCTTAAATATTCCAATCACACATTTTGCTTGTCCTCAAGCAATTTTGAAAATGAATGATCAAAACTGTTAAATTACGTAAATCTATGTAGAAATGTTGAAGATTTTTGACATGTGTACGTTAGCTGTTAATATTAATTGTTCACTACTTTCACTTTCTAAACAATCCTCACGAAATCATCTTGTATCTTTGGAAGGAGTAGGTTTCAAATTTAAGTGTTAGTCAAAATGTGAGATGTGAGAGACTCATAAAGCATAATATTTTCCGCTATGCGAGCACGCATGGACCTGAGGCACAGGCACCCTGGCACCTCCTTGCGGTCACGCATCACGAAATCACGAGTGCCTTCCGTCTATTGCTGATAAATATTTCAGCAAATCCATTTTCATATTCACACCATTCAAATTATCCATGCTTTCTTTTTAATTTTAGGAACAATCTAAAAACTAGTCAAATATTCAATGTAGGATTTTGTATATTAATAGTGTTCAATTCTAAATTTTAGAATGGAAATCGCCTCTTCAGATGTAAAATCCAAAAAAAATCTCCCTTAGCCTGGTTGAGCGGTTAGTTTGACATTTCAATAATCTTGAATAACTATTTTCAGTTGAGCGACTCATTTTGAAATTTCTCTGTATTATTTAAGGTAAAAGGAGGAGATTTGAAAAGAAAATATTAAACGCTGTAACATGTTCTATCGAGTCTACGAGTAATCGTAAAACAATCATATGAACAGCGTTATATTATGTCAGTTCACTTTTCTGCGAGAAAAATTCTTCCATTTTTAATCCTTCATAGATTTGACGAGTTACACTCAAATAGCTGAACCGCGTCGTGCAAAATGGATTAAGTTCCTTTTTTGCCAAACAAATGGATTTCTTGTGAATGAATAAACAGAAGAATTGCTCCTAAGAATAAAAATAATTGTATTATCTTATAATGAAACGCCAGATGTTTGGTTTCCATGTAAAAGTTTTATCTTTTCAAATTGTTTCAGTACCATTTTCAATTCTTAAAGGTATATTTTTTTACCTTTCTGAAAGACATTACCGTTCAAAATTTTTTTAGCTCCACGAGGTCTTGTTATCGATAGTCTGAAAGTGATCAGGAGTACTTCTTTTCAATTCTTATAAATCGAGCACATTTCATAATTCTAGAGTCTAGGATAGAAATTATATTTTTGTAATATATTTCGATGAGTCAATTTCAAAAACATTGTTTTGTACAGATCTAAATGTTATAAAATGATGTTGGTTTATTTTAAGTGTGTCCATTGTTATGGTAGTGTTGAACTTCCGACTATTGAGATGAAAATAATTAAGAAAAATAGCAAACCGCCTTATGTGTGTTGTAAATAAATTGCAGTTGTATTTTTATAAAGTTCCCTTGTAACTACGTATAAATTACTTGTACAGTATTCCAGAACGTAGTGATGTTATTCCTTTATTTTTTAAGTTGATTTATATTGTAAAGTTTTTAATTACTCTATTTTTAGCCTCAATTTTTCAAATTAAAAATAGATAAAAACTACAGTTACCAAAAAATCCACTTATTCAAGACTTTATTTCTGTCACCTTACCAAGGTTGGGGTATTTTTTTAAGTAGATGAAGAAGAGAGGTAAAAAAATCATCGCGAAGAATAAAGTTTAATCCTCTAACGGTAAAATAAACTAGTGTCAAATGAAAAATTAAGGCACTTAACTTTTTTCCCCCACAATATGCTTGTTGAGAAATGCCAATATAAAGGGGGAAAGGGGAGAATAAAAAACAACACACAAAGCGAGAAGCTAAAGCAGAAAAAAACGAACAACTTAGAAACGACACAGAATGCACAAATTGTGGGTGTTTTTCCGCTTGAAAGGCAATGTCATCGTATCTTTGTGAAGGTGTCGTATTAATGACGCATTGCCATAATAATTGGGAGAAACCCATGAGATGTCCCAAATCTAGGGTACCTGGGGAAAGAATATTGTTGTTTGCCAAGTTGCTTTATTTGTAAGCGTTGCTCACACAAACACACGAATAAATGTGAGAAAGAATTAGAACACATCGGTTAAATTGGTTTCTGGTAGAATGACGCAAGTCTCCAAAACCTAATTTTACAGGAGAGTAAAAAAAAACCTCTCGTCAAGCAGGATGACTAAACATTTCCGGAGTGTTTAAAGGATGGGTCCATATATGTTTGAAAGTTCTGAAATAATTGGTTTGGTATAAAAATTCGTCGTTTCTCACACGAAAAAACGTAACTAAATTTCAACGTTGCCAGATTTTTTCGCGCAAATTGCATTTTTACAGGGAGAATTTTGAGATTTTCTGGCTAATAATTCACCTAATTTTTTATCTAATCTCATGCAAAAATCAGATAAATTTCCGACAAAAACTGTGCAAGTTTGTGCTCATAAAAAATTAAATTGTTTGAGTTAATTTTGCAACCTTACAATTGAGTTATGTTCCTTCGTGCGGAAAACGAAGAATTCTGAACACCCTCTTGGGCCAATTTAAAATCTTGCACATACATTCTTCTTCATGAAAATGACGAAAAGCTGAGGCGTTTTTAAGTGAAGAAAAAAACTAGGTTTTAAGCGAATTTGGAAAGTTTTATCAAACATTTTCGTCATTTAAGTAGAACCTTAAGTATGATGTTTAGATGAGGCAAAATTAGAGAGATACTGAAAATTCGCAGATAATGTTTAAGCACCTCTTAGCCAGAATGTTGTTGCAAAGGAAATATAATCTGAAAATGTTGAACCTGCATCTTTTCACCAGAAACCAATTCAACTCATGTTACATATGATTTCTGGTATCATTCCGAAACAATGAATTCTCAGAAGAAAGAATTTGCATTTTTTGGCGCAAAGAACACCCAATAAAGTCAAAAATTGACCCATGGATGAAATTGTAAAGTAAATTAACGATGAATTTGAATTTAAGAATATCACAAAAGAAGTTACCAGCAATATTGGCAATCGTCGCCCGCTTCAAATCAAATAAAAAAAAAATAAAAAAAAAAATAAAAAAAATAAAAAAATAAAAAAATTCAAAGACTTCAAGCATAATTGATAATGCAAATTATGGTTTAGGGAATAAAATTATCAGAGTTTAAAAATATCAAAGAACCAATTGTAACAAAAATGAAAAATTTATAATTTGGCCTCAAATCGATTTTTCACCACCTTGGAAAAAAGGTTCAATCCTACAGTGGTCAAACAGTACTTTAGAGAACGATTCACCAATAAGTCGAGCAATTGATAATTTCTGGATTTTAGAACATTTCTGAAGAATTTCCGAGAATCATCATACTGCAACGCATCAGGTATGTGCACCAAATTTGACCGCAAGGAGCATTTTAAAATATCTTTAAAAGTACTTTCTGAATGAATACTGCAAATTGAAGGACGGATCGATTTGCAATATTCAGTCGGACCATAGCGTAGTATTGGAGTTTTTTCGAAGTGTCGCCTGGTCAAATTTTTTGTGAAAAAACTTGACAAACTTCAGCGCATGGTGATGCTCGAAAATTCCTAGGGAATTCCTTAAAATCCAAAATTTTTCAATCAATCGATTGACTATAAAATAGTTCTACAAAGTGGTGGAAGACAACCTTAAGAGTCCTCTTGTGTGACTACATCACGAATAATGATCCTCAGCACCGAGATGGGTCTTTTTAAAGTAGCTTTTAGTGACAGCAGGTCGCGGTCGTACCTACATCTTAAGAGAGATAAGTTTTGGAAGTAAAATGCGTTTTCGGTTATGAAACGGAAGTCAAATACTAAATTCTACTTAAAAATACTGATGAAATTTCAGTATTGGGCGAAGCACTGGATGCAAATGTAGCATACTTCTACTGAAACTTCATAATAAGGTCTTCATTGCCGTGTAAAGTGTTAACTTAGCCAAGAGTGTAATAATAGTTAACGAGACCTATACGAGTGCTTTTTGTCCAAAAAATACTCGAAGAGATTAATTCCACTCCGAACTACGTGGTGACACTCAGCGTTCGATATGGGTCCATTAAGAAGCGGCTTCATATGTAAATTAGTGGGAACTGCACCAGCCTTTCAAATCCCCGAATATTTCTGTCATCTAACGAATAAACTGAGCCTAAAAAATTAGGTAAGGTGTGAAGGATAAATTGCCTGTCTTACCAATAACAAGCAATGAATGTGTATTTTCATTCCATCGATAAATCAGATTTTACAGAACGTTGCTCCCATTTGAGTTAACGCGCGTCTTATGAAGCGTGCGATTGGTTTTTTTTTTTTTTTTTTTTTTTTTTTTTTTTTTTTTTTTAATCGCCTACACAACTTACCGATGAACATATATCTGCCTGAGACAGAAGGCCTCTGATGCAGTATTACTGCACTAATGTTCAAACCGATTGGCCGCATTTTAGCTGAAAAGAGCTATACGTAAAAAGAAATTAAATCAAAAGGAACTAAGCACGAAAATATTATGCACATTGTTCATTTTGATTTAATTAATTTATTCATGGTTTCTTTCAGCATGAATGGTCCCTACTGAAGGCTCGAATTCATGAAAGTGTAAAATTTTAGTTCCTTGAAATTAAAAGAAATCCGTTTAACTTGTATTTTAAAACCTAGAATCATAACTCGACATTCCATTGAGAGCATGTCATGCTTTATGATTCGTTCGATCCGAAACAACCTATAGGCCGTACTTTTTAAAACGTCAGAGAATTAGACGTACATTAAAATGGGATTTAAGGGTATAACCAAAATTATCTTTTGAAAAGGGACATTTCATTCCCGAAGCATCAACTTGCCTGAGAAGAATGGTCAAAGCTAACTGCCTATGTGTGCGCCTTCAAATCGACAGCGCTGCAAACAACATTGACCATAGCTCACAGCATCCGTAATATTGATGGAATTGGTAGAGTATTGATCAATATTAACATCTTCATAGAGAATTCAAACTGCATCGAGACTCCTGAATTTGTGCAGTGGCTTCAACCCACCGTTTTCGAAAATAAAATGGTCTCAAGCAACTGCATGCCTGAGTCAGTCACTCTGAAAAAACGGGTTGCGATTTAATCGTCGAATTTTAGCGTGCCGACTGCCGAGTATCCCGCGAGAGGAATTGGCGATCACACGGAATTTTTGCCGGATCGCGTATTTCTTGTTGATTTGACGACTCTTGAGAGCTATTTTTGCAGATTAAAGTTAACTGGTTTTGAAAAGGTCTTTGCTTTTGTTAAACAACGTTCGGAGAATATAATTTCACCGGGTGTACCTCGTATTAAAAAACGGCTTACAGACATATTGTCAAGATATTTCTAGGAGAGGAATTTCGGTAACCCATTTCAAAGATAAGGGTTGTGTTCATAGTACTTCGTAGTCGTTACAGCTCTTTGCCTCAGCAGGACCCATATAGTTTACATTGTGATCATCATCTTAAAAGGGACAATTATTGCCAACCTCGAGTAAAATTCATCAATATAACATAGGTAATGTATACACGCAAGGCAGTACAACGATTCCACTCTGCAAAAAGTACAAAATACGGGGGAAAAATCTACGATTTTGACGAACTTTAAGGTAAGTACTCTACTCTAAATCTCACAAAAATCGCAATCTAGTCTATCTCATATTTTGAATTTTTTTTTTAGGAGTAAATAATTGCAATCCCTCTCAAGGGCCCGTGTCAAAAGATATGCGGCTGAGTTTTTGCTTTCGGTCAGCAAAGATCGTCTTTTTTATGATGCTGCGTTAGGAATCTATCTGTTCTTTATTCACAATTGGACGTATTTCTATCAAACGGGACTATGAACATTATGACGTGAGCTCTGTTAGCCATACAGTCTTATGAGTCTCAGGAGTCATGTCTCTATGCACATAGTTTTGTTTGGCAGAAACCAATGCGTCCAATTTAAACCACGCGATGCCTCCTCAGAAAAAGAGCTGTTTACGGAACGACTATGAATACGACCTCAATAATGAGAGCTTTCGACGAGGGACTATGGGAGCTGCGAAACTTATGAGAAATCAGTAACGACATCTTTTGGAGAAATCTGAAACTAAATAGGGGTGAATGCTCAGCATCTGCTATCTGAAGGGAAAAGTTCGCATTAGATGAGGGGTGAGTCGACCCAAAAGCTGCTGCCCTCTACAGTACATTCTTGAGAGCATTTTCGTCCTCTACGGCCCAGGGCCGTCCGGGTGACGTATAAAGTTGAGGAGGATCATCGTTGAATTTAAATTTCTCTCCGGGCAACATTCTCATTTTGAGCTAATGAAAAATAATAGCCTTTCGTCTTCAAAAGCTCCTGCACTATCTTGGGGCGAAAGTACGGCGTTATGCTGGATTTTACCTGCTCTTCCGAGCTGAATAGAAAGGGTAGTGTGCGGAAATCGACGGGTAATAAGTATATTTTAACTCAGTTAATCTGTAAGCATTTATGCAAAAATATAGAGAAATACATCAATGACTAAATTTGAAAAATGTGGAACTGTATAAAGCGTTTCAAAATCTCCAACCGTGCTTTCTTTTTTCTTAAAGCGAACCTAGAAATCTC